CGCCCCGGCCCGTCCCGTCCCGTCCCGCCGCCTCACGGCGCCCCGCCGGAGTCACGAGTCGGGGAGTTTCGGGCACTTACGTAACGCTGCGGGGCCGCCGCCGCTGTTTCTCCCCCTTCCCGAAGTCAAAGTCGCTTCCGAGGCCCCCCCAAGCCCCTCAGCGCCCTGGGACAAGCCAGCGCCCGCCACCGCCGCTTCATTCACCAGGTCCTTCCAGCATCGCTGCCTCCCGCCCTCCCTCCTGGCGGGACGCGGCGCTGCCCCAGCCCCGCGGCGGGACAGCGGAGCCCGACGCCGCCTCTCACCGGAGGAGCTCCTTCCCCGCCAGGCAGCCCCCGGCTCCCAACATGGCCGCGGGAAAGCGGCCGGAGCCCCGGCGGAGAAGGGCTCCGTGAGGAAAGTTTCCCTCTCGCTCCCCGGCCGGCCCCGACCCGGGCCGAATCCCCGCCGCCCGAAACACGGCCGGCCCACGCTGCTCACCCAGTGCACCCCACTCCGGCCGCCGCCTGCCCCGCTCCCCGCACGGCCGCGGTCATACACCCCGCGCCGGGGGACGGGCTCCGGGACACCGCCCGGCGGGGCGGGGCCGCCGCCATCTTGGGCGGGAAGGGCCGAGGCGGCACCGCCCCCGCTCCGTTCCCTCAGCACCGGGCCGAGCCCGAGGGCCGCCCTGCGTGGGGAGGGCAGCGCGGAGCGGGGCTCGGCCGTTCCCTACCCTCGAGTGGCACCTCGTGGAGGAGGGATAATCCAGACACGAGACTATTGCCTCGTGTTTTTGTTTTGGTTTTGCCTTTTTCTTTTTTAAACCAACACGTTTCCATTCTCTGTGCACCATCCCGAGTTTGTGATCGCGCTCGTGGCTCTAAGTACGCTCTCCCAGCTGTAATTCAGTACGGGCACGTTTTTAACTACCTCTCTGTACTTAAAGTTTTTTCCAGCGCTCGGAAGGGAATTAGCAACATTTTTCAGTCTGAAGAGTTGCCTGGTCAGCATGGAGAAAGTGTGGCAGGTCTGCCTGAACAGCTTTCATCAGAAACGCTGTCAACATGAGAAGCCCCTTCCATCTTCTGTGTTAGCATTTTTAGTGTCTACACATCAAGTCATCCAGAGCAATATTTTCTAAATCTAGCCAGCTGCTCAGTAGCTAACCTGATCCTTTAAGATTTCCAGCCACTGATGTACGGTACCAGAGGGGTGGCGGGGGTGTTCTGGGGAGCTGTGGAGAAAGGGGGCACAGCACCAGGCTCTTCTGTGGTGTCACACTGGTGCCAAAATCTGTGCTCTGGAAAAGGGCCCGACGGGCTTTCTTTTTTAAGAAAATTTCACTTACATGCAATATAGCAGTTTCATTTCCCAAATTTCACGTTACTGAGCAATAACGTGGTTGGCTTTTCTGGGGAATAAAAATAGTTTGGTGGTGGGGTAATCATGAACCCACTGAACTTTCTCAGTTTCATCTGAATTTTCTGTCCCTGCTGAGACAGGGACACAGATGGATAAGAGCCACATCACTGAGCTGGGTCTCTCCTGCTATGGAAGATGGACATAGGGAAGGGAGCAGGCGTGTCCAACCCCACTGCAGCATGGCAGCCTGGTCATCTGCTTCTCCCAAATTCCACCTGGTATTCAGCCTGAGTTGTCCTGTGATTATTCTTAGTGTACTAATTTATATAAGGCGTGGACCAAGCTGCTTAACCCAAGGTTTTTAGAAACAGGTGCTTGTGGCTGTTTAAGACTTCCAGGTCTGAGAGTGTGTGCAGAAGGATGTATTTGTCAGGTGTTTCATGTGTAAAGAATTTGGGCACAGGCAATGTTTAAACTGGCCACCCGTGTCTTCATGTTGGGACTGTCAGATGCAGAGAGATCTTTACACCAGAGCATCTTTTATATATGGGTTGGGCTGGTTCTTGTGAACCAAAATGATCAGTTTATGTTGTGACCTGCGGTAGATTTAACTTGCCCTCTACATCAATTTTTCTTGACATCAGAAGCAGCTTTATGGTTAATTACCTTTTCTTTCATTCTTGCAAAATAATTTTATAACATCAGGTTGAGATATAGCAGAAAGTTGGATGCAGGCAGAGTGAAACGGTCTTGATGTTTCTGCCTGTGTGTCCATGTCTTAATTCTCTTTGTGAAGTCCAAATTGACATTGTTTTCTGAAAGGTTTGCAAAGTACTACAGCGGTGAGATACTTTTTCTAGCACACATAGTCATGGAATATCAGCACAAGACCTGAACTCCAGTTAAGAGAAGAATGAGCAACCTGTTGTTTGAAGAAGATTGTGAACTAAAAATGACCTAATGCTGTCATGCAGAGCAACTTCAGTGCTATGAAAGACTGACATAATTTCTTTCTATTGTCATCCTATGATGTTCAGAATTATTTTTTTTTTACTAAATGATTCTTTTTTTTACTGTGTTCAGCAAGAGGGGAAGATAAACCTGATAACAGTGTATGTTTGCAAACCCTCAAACACTTGTTCTTAAATCTCTCTATAAAAAAGTAAACATCTGACCTAATTTTTAAGTAGTGTTGAAAAACTTGGCTAAGGGTCAGTGACTCTTGCTTTGTGCTCACTATACTGAAATGGCATACTGATCATGTGTGCTGGTTTCAGTGGAGTTTTTTGTACTTATCTATCTCTACTCTTCCATGTTAACTCTGCATCTTAGTACTGCAGATGCAGTCTTGCAAAAAAAAGGGATGCTACACAGAAGACATGTAGAAGGCAAGGGATGGGAGACTGTGGGGGTGTCCCACTAAACAGAGTATATACTAATTTATTTTACTATTTCTGTATAAGTAGTGTATTTCACATAAATTAATTGCCACTTTAATTTAGCTGAAAAAACTTCTCTCGAAGCATAGCTAGTAGTCTAAAATAACATTTATTTTTGCTCTCTAATTATAACCTTACTGTTATGATTTTGCCTCAGCTACACTTTAAGGGTGGAGGAAATATATTCTTCAGAAGACATGATATGGCAGTGATATACTGCAATACATGTTGTATACTATGCTTTCTGAATTGCCTTATGATTTTTGAATGGACACTGTTTCCAAAGAGCTGTTTCAGGGCTCGTGTTTTCACTTCAGATCTTCACAAGGATCACATGAAAATCGCAGCAAGTCTGTCTGGTGTTGAGACAATGCAAGTAGATGGTTCAGTATTTTTACTTCACTGTGTCACTGAGACATCTGCATTATTTATGAAAGCTTCCAGTAATGGGCTGTCTACAACTCTCTTGGCTTACAGGTTTCTCTCAAGCAATTTAAAAATTGCTGTGAACTTCTCCTTTGTGCTGGCATATAATTTCTGATAGAACCTCACCAAGGTTGCAGCTTTCTTTAACATAAAAAAATGTTCAAAAATTGTCAGCTGTATTGGTGGGGTTTTTTAGCAGCACTAAAAAGTAATTTTTAAAAATGGATAGAATCCAGCATATATGTAGGTTCAGAGATTTACTGTGTGGCAAGACTATCCTTTAAAAGTGTCCTGGCTTTAAAAGCTGGTGTTGGTGACTTTTTTTTGAGTTCTCTGTACAAGTGGACTTGGTTAGTTTGTAAGCGGGAAGGAATTACCTACTGGTAGTCAACTGTAGTTTGTTCCATGGAAGTCCGGTTCTCTCTCCCACCAGCTCTTTTTTTTAAGTGTTCAAGTATCAGTTTTACAATTGATGGGATTTGCAACTAGGACCTTGCAGCACATGTTCTCCTTGGGCTAAAATAAAATCTCTCTGCTTCTTACTCAACTAAATGAGCTCTGTGATACAAAAAGAAAACTATTGGAGATTTAATTCTTAACTTTATAACTTCTAGGTCAGCAAAACTCAGTCATGGCATATTGAAATAGGACTTTAAATTCTTTGCTTTCAGTAACTTTAAAAAGTACTACAAACAATAAAAAGAAAATCTGTGTTTTGTTTCTTTATTCATTGAAAATCTTTTTGAAGCAGCAGTGGATTGGCTTTTCTAGCTGACAGATGCAGAAATGCAGAATACCTTCCCAGCTTTAGAGTACTTCCATTCCTGAGTCACCCACAAAAGGAGACCAAATCCAGTAACTTAAAGCTTTTTAAGGGGGAATTAAATGCTTTACTCTCAAATATTGCCCTTTGTGAAAAAAAGAATATTCATTGTATCATTGAAAAATGAACTGGTAATTCCTAAGTTAGCCCAGTCTCAGATTCTGTGCTGGAAGTCTGTTCTTGTTTGGCTCCAGTGAGTTGTAACCATCCCTGTTGGTTTGTCAGAAGTTTTGTAATTGTCCTCCTGGGATGCTACTATCTTTTCTCAAGATTATTGATTTTGTACGTCCAAATTATCCCCTTTATTAATTTTGTTTGCTGCCTAGTTGAATGGAGCATTATTGACTTTTCTCACACTTTAGCTGTTATTGCTGTCTTATCCACAAAGCGTTTTGTTTAGGAGAGCAGACTTGTGTGTTTTAGGGATGGGAATTGTAATAGGTACTATTTCATTACAGTTTTTCTTATGTGTTTTTTTTTTCCCTTCTTTTCCTTTTTTAAATTGTAGAGGTTGTTTATTCTATGGTCCAGCAGGGCAGTCCCTGGAAAGACACCAGTTGCTTGTGCACTTGCTAATGAATGTAGCAGAGATGACGGATTTTAATAGGACAAATTCCAACTACAGAAGAGACACAGCACCTCTCAAAGAGAGAACATTTTATAGATAGTCATGACTTTAGATAGTCATTTATCATTATAAACAATATGCTCTAAAGAGTCACTCGAGTGCAGCTGCTTCCTTGTACCACACATCTCCCAAGCAGTCAACACAGTTCACGCAGCTGACACTACATGAAACAGCCTTGGCCTTGCTAAGTGGGGATGGAATTATCTCCAGAGAAGCTGTTTTTCAAGAATCACACAGTGGTTTGGGTTGGAAGGGACCGTATAGAACATCTAGTTCCAAACCCGCTGCCATGGGCAGGGACACCTTCCACTAGACCAGGTTGCCCAAAGCCCCATCCAAACTGGCCTTGAACACTTCCAGGGATGTGGCACCCACAGCTTCTCTGGCCAATCTGTGCCAGTGCCGGAAACAGACAATGATGTAGCAGAAAGTGCTGCAAATCTGCTGATTCCATAAACCTGAGATTTTATCTGAAAGAATGCAACACAGGGGCACAACTGAGACACCAAGTAACTACTGCCCCAGGCCACTGCTCCAGCTTTCCTTACAGGCTTCCATGGAAGAGTTGCTCTGCCAAGTTCAGGGCAAGACAAAAGAAACCATTACAGGAAGTGGAGTGAGCTCCTGCCTATAGTATCAGTCTTTGGCTGCAGAATGTGGACAAGTCAAAGGCTCCTGAAGTGTTTGTTTTATCCAGACTGACTCAGAAGGAGGAAATTGCAACCACAGCCAATCATTTATATTAAAAAAATACCCTATTGAAGCATAATCATCTTCATCAGAACTTGAATGACTATACCACTCACAGGTTTTATGTTCTTAAACTACACAAGAATTATGATGTTTGTACCTGCTTTCAACACAGGACACAAGGAGAAGAAAGAATTCAGGTATTATACCATTTCTAGATCCAAAATAAAATTCTGGCTTTCACAAATAAGCACTTCTGCAAATTGAGTTGAGATGCATCTGACAGGAAAAACTTAAGAGCACTTTCAAGTTGGAAAGTCGATTAGCACCAACTATAAAACTAATTTTGAGCTCAGTAAATAACAATTTACATTGCACAAACAGAACTTGAGTTACTACACACAAAGGGCATTTTGGACCACTTCCCACATTCAGCCCGTGGCTGTCAGGATGCTGCCTGGAGCTAATGGATTTTCCCTGCTGCCAGCAAGCGGCCACACAGCACGAAGCCCACTTGTGTACTCAGCACAGCAATTTGATTCCAAGGTAAAATGCTCAACTTCAGGGACACCTTGCCCACACCAGTGGTTTTGTGCATCCTGTGACCAAATTACTTAACTCTTATGTATAATACTGTAATATTTCCTTCTTCTTGAAAGAATGATTTACAATTAATCTGTGTCCTGCAGACTCCACAAAATCCATGTCACAAAAAAAAACTGAGCTAAGGAATAGATGCTCTAGTGCCTAAGAGAAGTCAGGAATTCACACTGCGTTCTTCCCAAGCCTGAAAGGAATCAATAGCATCCCCTCCTATCTGCACCTACCTCTTTTCATAAAACTTAAGAGGAAATCCACTGTTGTAGAGCTGTCTGTTCTCACAACTTCAGCTGACTTTAGCTGATGAGCTCAGAAGTTTGAGAACCCAGTTAACTAGACAGTGACCAAATGTAATCCTTCTCAGCATAAATCAGGCTAAAAGGAATCCTAAGTGGTCCTAAGGGACCACTACTTACCTTCCTTACAGTCTTCCTTTTTGGGCCAGATACTGGCTTTGCCAACTGCCAACATTAAGAAAGAGGACAGAGGATAGGAGAACAGAATTGCAGAATTAGTAGTATTGTACACAACTGTTGTATCCCATTGCATTCTACATTTCCCCCTTGAGACTGGAGAACTTCACCGAGTTTATAATCCAGTGCTCCACATCATGCAAACAAAAGCATGTGGATCCCAAGGAGGGTTCAGACCCCAAGTCTACTGTGTACCATATGCACACAGTTCTCAAAGGACACATGTTTCCTAACCTGGTAATCTTGATGTCTCAACAGGGCAGTAATATCTCAGTAACCAGATAACTGTGTTCTTCCTTCTTTTCCTAGGAATGTTCAGTTTGCCTCCTCACAGGATATTCATGTGGAAGACCATGAAAATGTTCAAGGATGACAGAAAAATTGGTCAGAAAATAAGAGAGTGATCTTTGTGGCTGTGTCTCCTTCTGGAAAGAAGAGTGTCATGCCTCTTGAACATTCTGCCCTAAGACAGGAGAGTGAAATGCCAGATTGCCAAAGAGCTGCAACTTCTGAAGATGGAGGTTCAAACTGTAAGTGGAAGGTCATAGAATTAATTTAGCTCATTTTTCTTCCTGAGGAGAGTTACACTATTTATTAGGTTTTAGCCTTCTTGACTTCCATTCTGTTACTTCTGTGGTGTCTCTCAAACCAGCAGTGTTTCTTGCATAATGGTGCTGCCCCTCTAGGTATGCTGGCCAGATTTGTGTTTTTCTGCAGCTGCTGGTTTTCTGATTCTGCAGTTTGTTTTACAAATGGTACCTATCTGAGAAACAATCCCTGACTTCCTTGTATATCTTCCCAGTAATAAGCAGTGTAAGTTAAAAAGCTATACTTCAAGCAGCGTGGACTCAAGAGTCACATATGGAATTAAAGAATTATGTCCTAATGTTTGTGATGCAAGATGTGTTTCCTAACCTAAATTATTTAGAGTTTAACCATGCAGTGCTATAACGGCAATGTTTTTACTTTGTTTTACCCTACCTTTTTTCTCTAGTGCCTTTGTGTGTGCGTCCCAGTTTCTAGTTTTTATGGAGCACTGACTTTTGCCAGAAAGTAAAAGCCAAGCATTTTTAGTGAAAAAATTGTAACAGCTCTGTTAGAAGTAGCTATTCTAGGTACACAATGCTTCTTCACTGGTACTGTATTCCAGATAGAGAAATCCCAGCTTAGGACATTTGTGCCATTCCAGATTCATGGATACACCATATGACTCATGTGCAATGTTCTCTGGTGGATGAGCAACCGCGAGTATGTGATGGGAGAGCAATGAAAATTTACACAAAGGGAGCATTTGTGGATTACTCTGAGCTCGGAGTAAGTCTAATTTCAATTCTGTTAATACTGTTTTCTTGCTATCTGTACAGTTCTAAATTATGTTGGTTGTTAATCAATTCCAATTCAAACAATTTATGGGAGGTATTTTTAAGTTGTGAAACAATTCAACCTGTAATGGACTATGACTGCTGTTTCCACAGCTGGTGTAGACTGCTGCTCTTGCTTTTGGCGATCTAAATTTTAGGAGACTGGGTTCTCTTCCTAATTTTCAATGTAAAAGGACTTGTTACATTTTAAAATAGCTCCCTGACAATCTGCTAGTACTGTTACTTATTATTTTCTTGGCAGCTTTTATGATGGATTTCGAGAGGGCTGTTTTGGTTTGCTGTTTGCATGCTCTCATTTACTAGAAACCGGAAAAGGTCCTTGATTTTCAGCAGTGATGACTTTAAACCTGAAGTTGAGTGACCTGAAGCTCATCCTGGATAAAATACTAATACCTGATTTTCTCAAATTCTTTCAAAATCCAGTGTCAGAATTCTGCATTCACAGAGTTATAGTGTTACAAGGTTTTTCCAGTCTCCTGTAGGAGAGAAGTTACTATTCTAGGCTAGAAATGGGGAAAGGGTCAAAAATGGGCCTAGCTGCAGGAGCTAAAAGAGATTCCTTTGCATAAATTGGAGAGGGTAGAAGAAGGACATGCCCTACAGGGGACATTGCCACGAGGAAAGTTCAGGAAATTGCTAGGCTGAAGGGCTGGAGGTCGGGTAAAGCAGAAGAGGCTCCTGTTTACCTGCAGTGATGAGAAAGGGAGTACTACTTGGATATTTCCCCCGTATGGGAAAAATGTGAGCAGAGTGAATCCCCTTTGTTGTTTGAAGGGGTTTGTCAACACAATTTCTATCACATTATTAAGCTGTGACCCAATTTGTAGAGGTGAAACTAACATTCTAAGGATGGCTCCCTAAGGAAGCAAACTTCAGGGGGTTTGTTGTTCATATCTGCCTGTGCATGCAGAGAAGCCACTTCAGTTTCTTTAGAGTCAGGGTGCTAACAGCAACTCCTCCAAAGTTACTACCCACTGGTACTTACAGATGGTTCAGCTTATAGATGTTTCAGCCGCAAGGAGAGACCTTGAGTCATGAAACATATCTTTTAGAAAACTTGTTTCCTTAACCTGGGTGCCACTGGCACTTGATGCTTGCACCAGAGAGCCTCTTTGGGATTCACTGCAGTCAATAAGGACAGTGAACCTCCAAAATGGAATTGCTTGGTTTTGTATGGGGATTTTTCGGTTATTTGGTTGGGTTGGGGTTTTTGTGTGTTCATTTATTTGCCTGACAACAGACACTGCACTTGATGAACAAATAGAAGAGCATGCACTCACCTATGTGGCAGCAATTAGAAATAGTTTCACACAGGATGTTGGCCACACACCTCTGTCATGCCAGACCTTTTGTGTCTGCAGCAGCTGAAAGCACATGTGGTTTTTGTGTTCTCTGTATGTTATGTAAAACCAAGTTGAGGAGAATGTTCAAATCTTGTGGTAGCTGATCTGAGGGAGGCCGAGCTAATGGCAAGTGGTTGGGAGGAAGTTATATTTTCATTTGGTCTGGCTGCTCTTTTAAGCTACATCTTGACAGCCTTACATGATACACAACTGCCGAAGAGCTCCAGCAGTGCTGTTGCTAGCGTGTTAGTGTGCTTTTTCAGAGATTACCACATTCATCTTTGGTAACAGAAGGGACTGTGTGAGACACTGGCAATTTGCTACAGTCACTCTGCTAGTTTATTCACTCTTGGGTTGAAAGGTAAGAGCTAACTGATGTACCTTTGCTTGCTGATCTACTTCAGACTTGAGCAGTGTGTTCTGCCAGCAGTGCTGCAGGCACAGTACACATTCAGCTAATGGCTAAAGGTGAGCACATAAGGATGCTTCTGTTTTTGCCTAGCATTGCTGTATCTGGAAGATCTGTAGCCTTGGCCTCCAAAGACATGTTTCCCAGGGCTCTGTATTGTGTTTCTAAGAAAATGCAACCGTGGCTTTACTGTGGCAGCTACTCCGTAACGAAGTGGATTCTGTCATTCCCTGCTGTTTTGGAAGTACTAGATTGGCAATTATGATTGTCAAAGTCATAGACTGATGAGCAGGAAAATACTGTCAGAAATTTTAGCCTTTTTTTTCTCTCAAGTATGAAAAATTAACTGATTTTCTCCAGTTAAATCCTGTGAGATAAGTTCCCTGAAGTGCCACTTTAACAATGTAAGAAAGTAGGGTGTATCTTGCACTATTCTGAACTGTAATTTCCCTTTTTATCTTCAGCAAGTATTGCAGTCTATCGCCGTGGTAACTGAGCACCTCGGTGTATCTCACACGGCAAAACTATGTTGTGTTCTTAGCCATCAGGAAGATGATGACAAAACCAAATTAGTGAGGGTAAATTGTTTTGTCTAATAGCACTTTCTGTCACACACTGTTAGGCACGTGCATTATAGCTATGTCTGTGTGCACTGCGAACATCACACATACTCCGCATTACTCTTTACTTAGTTGCCTGTGTTACAAGACTTCTTCATTTCAGTCTGGAAGACATTTATCCATATTGCAAAACGACTGCTGTACGTGGCATAATTGTTGGCAGTTCCAGCAGGGAAAGGCAATGGGTCCACCCACACAGGCCTCTTAAAACAGTCTGTCACTAGTCCTTCTCCAGAACCTTTTCAGGGGTGGGGGGCTGTAAAAGGAGGGCACTTTTCTCAGTCTGCTGCTTCATCTTTCTCCTCCTGCAGGCAGTCACACATGGTACCACTTGAATACTACTACTACTTGTACAGTAGTCATTCCACTCTTGAAAAGAAATTAGGTGCGAAAACATTACAAGAATTTGAGATTTTCCTTTAATCTCACCCGACTCCTTCTAACTAGCATGGCCCAAGCATCATAAATTTGACATTTGGGGAGCTTTCTGCCTGTGACAGTTTGATGCTAATGAGTCAAATTCTCTAATATCTTCCTCTAAGAGAGGATTTCTGAGTTGTCAGAACTTGGCAGGAGTCTTCCCTAAGCACCCACGGTTCCAGTTCTGTATACTGTGTTGATTTGCATAGGCTGTATATTCAGATCTTTGAATAAGTTTTGTCTTTCCAGTTGCCTGAGAATAGATAAAATTCTTTGTATCCTAGTCTGCCTTAAAAAAAAAAAAAAAAATAGCAGAAGCCCCTTCTCTTTGGCCCTGTTCATCTCCATCTCTTCTTCCACACCTGAGAAAGAGCTAGAATGGATGCTCTGTCCTGACTGTGCAGCAGTGAGGATTATTTGATTCAGGAAGGCCATTCCTGAAAATGCACCCTTCTCTAATCTAGCATAATGTGTTTTAGCATGAAAAGGGATTTGTTTGTTATCTCAGGGCTTGTCAGCTTTTGTGACCTAGACTTGATTTCTGTGGTTTTCTAATTCTACCTTTAGCTTAAACCAAAAAATATCTCCTATTCAGCGTGACTGTATGAGACGGTCAGGAGCTGCTCTACTATACAAAGAGACTTTACCAAGTACTTATTCAGAGTGCAGAAAAGAATACTTACAGCTTTCAATTGTGGCTCTTCAGGAACTGTCTTCTTCCTCATTGTTGAAAGTACCATTGATAGAAATCCAAAGTCCTCTGACACAGATTCCTGCAGTCCCTCTAGCCTACTCTCTATTTTGGGTGCCTAAAGACACGTTTGAAGATAGTGGTCTAGAAAGACGTTGTGATGGCAGTACCCTAAACATGTATTGACTAAATATAACCAACAATTGTATGTACAGATTCTCGATTCTTTTGATGAAGAAGTAAACAGGGTTCTCAAGCTGTATTCATGCTGACTCCTAATTTTTCTTTTTTTCTTGTTACGCAATGAAGAAAGAAATTGCAGCCCCCAGTTGTCTGTGATACTTGACTTGACATACACTGATGATGTACAGCTCCCAAATATATAAATTATGTTTAACATGTCTCAGTAATGGTAGCAGCTATAGGAAAAAAGAACAGAAGAAACAAACTTCTTTAAGTACATCAACCGAAACCAGGCATAATGGAATGCTCAGCCAGCAACGCTTGGTGAAAACAACTATAAGACAGATTACAAAAAAGAAGAGAAATAAGACATTTCTTATATGGCACCCACTTCCATCAAGAAATAAAAGGAGACAATACTAATGGAAGACTACCTTGTTTGACAGGTATTTAATGCCTCCATTCACAACACAGTCCCTAAAGGAAGAATCAGATATGCCATCTGAGGGAGGGCTGTTCCCCAAAGGATATAAAGGAGACACAGATTGCCTATTTAAGCAGCCTCCTGTGATTTGCGGTTCGAAGTGCTGCTTTATTTTCTGAGGTCACTCAAAACTCTTTTTGTGACTTAAGTCACAACTTGAATTTATTTATTCCATATCCTGTTTACTAATTCACTGATAAGTCCTCCTTACCATGCTAACCATTCACTGCATCACATGGCTTCTTTGTACACAAAAACAAATCAGCCCATCCATTGATGCCTTTGTGAGTACATTGTCAAGATTTGTTCCACTTCAACACCGAAGGAAAGCACTGGCCTTGTGGCCTAGAAGCAAGATATCACTGTAGCAACTCGAAGTGCTGGTGATACTGCGTGGTTTCCCTTCTCTTCCACTTTACTGTACTGCACTCCTGCCAAAAGTTAACTTTACAGGAGAGTGATTCCTTTTGAGAAGACAGACAGGGCTGCCTCAATTGTCCTGACTCAGCACGTTTGGAACAAAACAAGGACCAACTGCAGAAAGAGACATTTGTAATGCTTGCTCCAGAACACAAAATACACAGAGCGAGTGCGCAGCTGGCCTGGTGGCAGCTACAGAGCCCGAGCCTTTGCTCTTCGTTTGGCAGGAAGAGCTGCAGTGCCTGCATAGGAATGAAACATTTTCTTTTCAACAGACCTCTTTGCCACTTTCAGAAACACCAATAAGATACAGCAGCTGACTTGAAAAGAGGACAGAGACTGTTAGGATTTCATGTTCAGAAAATAGCCATTATACTCCCACTCCAGTACATACAGATTCTTCTAGATTCATGTCACCTCAATTACTACACCTCCAGTAATACAGAATCCAGGATCCTGAGCTGAACAAATTCAAAAATAAATGTCTTTCTTGGGAATAAGAAACTGCAAAATTAACCAAGATCTGTATCACAAACCAACTTCAAATATGTAAAACAAAACCACTAAAGATTTCTACCATGCTGACAATTTGTGATTAAAAAAGCCACAAATCTTCTTCTCAGAAATTCATTATGTAGCATTGTGCACTGAAATACAGGATGTTGTTATACAGCCAAGCATCTGGGGAGATTAACCCTGATTAAAAAAAAAAATCTCTGGGAAAAGCAGTTATTTAATAGAACAAGGATGACGGCAAAACAAACTACCGGATTTGTGCAATTGAATCAAGTTGGATGTTAGAAAGCATTATTTTACCATAAAACAAATCAAACAGAAATATTTACCTTGATCCTAAGAGATGCTGAGTACAAAGCTCCCAGTAGCTTCCCATTAAAAAAATAGAGCAGCATCTTTACAGAAAGGGCGGTGTAAAATGACCCAAAGCATTCAGAAATATGTTTCTCCGCAGTACCAAAGAAAAGGAATTCGGGGAAGCCACGTAGGAGGGTGTCCTGAGAGACATGGTCAATACTGAGCAAAGGGGACATTGAACCCATGTTGCAATGACAGCTGTGGGCAACAACAGAGAGAGACTAAAGGCCAAGAGGAAGCCACAGCCAAGCCCAGAGCAGAGTGAAAAAGCCAGAGATAAAAACTGTATAGGGTTCTCTTACGATGTTGTAAAGCTATCCTCCCACTACCTACAGTCACATCAATGCTCAATCTCAACACACAGTTAAACTCTGCACTACAGCTATATTTCACCATTCTGAAATTCTACATAAATACTACATAATTAAAACAGCTAAAGCTTTTCCTGACAGTTTTCTTGCATTCAAATATACATGCTCATTCTTCCAAGCATGAAGCATCATCACTACTTGGAAGAAGCCTGCTCCTTGCACTGAATAGAACTGCTTAGCTGATTTAGAGGGTGTTTACTGTAGCTGCTTCTGGGCATAAAGAAAGCAGTTTTTGTTTGTTGGCTTGGTTTTTGGTTTGTTTTTTTTTTTTTTCCTTTTTAGTGAAGAGTGACAACTGTCAGAAGTATCCATTAGCACAGAATTTGTCCAAGAAAAATTCTGTCATATTGCTATTATTACAGGAAAGGCAAGAAAAGTAATCTCAGACAAGGACATATGACTTGGCAGACGTGAAACAGAGATATCAGCCTCAAAATTCCAAGAACAAACTTAACTACTGCCAGCAAGCTGACAGCTACATGTGCATCTGCTGTTTCCCAGAACTGCACTTTGCAGAAGTGTGAAGTTAGACACTTCACAATTCTATCAAGTTGAGACATCAAAGAAAAAAACTCAGCACTCTGAACCCATATTAAAAAAAACAACCAAACTTTAATATGTTTTTTTCCAAGATCTAATATACAAATGCAACGGTAATAACGTACTCTTCTTTAGCAAGCTTGGATGAAATATATTGAAGTCCACTTTTCGCATGTTATGTAAAAAATCATCTAAAGCAACCTAGAAAAAGAGGAAAAAAGCTTAATCCATATGGTGCACACAAATAATTGGGCATCAAGTTTAAAAAAAAAATACATGAAACCAAATGAGAAACTGCAAAAAGGCTTCACAGTTTGTGTTATTAAGTGGTAGCTTAACCACCACATATAAAAAAGCATATAAAAAAGTCAGGTTTTGTGAAGAGAAGCATTATCTTTTACTAGACCAAAAAGCAAATTATAAAAATAGACAAGATTTTGGGCTCTTGCATCAGAAGAACAGTCTGTGAATACACAGACATCTTGGGTGAAATGATGTAGTTAAAGGAGAAGGATTAAAGGCGTTGATCAAAACTATAAGGTTCCACAGTCAGACACACATTATGATTGATCTTTGTGAGTTTTAGGTATTACATCCTCCCAAAGCAGACACACGAAGCAGTGGTTAAGAATGCTTCATATATGATACTCTTCACAAACATTAGCAGACGAATGAGTCCATCACTTAAAGAGTGCATGATATCACACCCACCGTACAGAAAAAAGCAGGATACGCCTTCACGGGAACTTTCTTACTGAAAGATCTAGCCTAAAAGTAAATGGGGTAAGGTGGGGGGAAAAACAAAACAAAAAACAAATGTACTTATCAGAAGAATTTAACATTTCAGATTAAACATCAAGTACTATGTAGAATGGTTAGAGGCAACAAACTGTTGAAGCTTTATGAGCTTCATCCCTTTTTATTTTGACAGCCTGAACCTGTAACTTCTCATTATGTGCAAGCCAGCACCATCCCTCACTGTGTACAGAAGCAGTTACACAGTAAGTATGTAATACTGGGAGAGGCCTGCTAAAATATTTATGAGGTTTGACAGACTAAAAGATTACATATTAGAAATCAATGTAAATTAGCATCCCTTGTTCCAACAAAGTCCCAGGTTGCATCTGGTTTAACAAACAATTTAACCTTTCCCCCACCCCACAACCCAAATCACTCTCTGCCTGCCAACAGACAGAAATTACAGAAGACCAGAAAAGCATTTCTCTCAGTGGATCTTTTTGGTCTAGTGTTGCCATCAGTCCCAGGAGTCCAGTTGTAAGTGCTCCCACTGCATTTCTGGGACTTCAAAATTATTTCAGTTCCTCAGTATTTACGTATCATATCTGAAGCATGGCTGAATCAAATCTACAATTTAAACTCATGTTTGGCTCAGGTCCCTCTAACAGAGCTGAAGCAAGTCTTCCTGTAATGTTTATTTATAAACACAAAATCCCTCCTTGTTTTGCCTTTTCTTACAGGTAAAAACAAACCAATCCTTTTAAATATTGACAAGAATGTATGAGTTTCTGATAGTTTTTCACAGATTTTTCCAGACAACTCAGAAAAATCAACCTGAAACTTTGGAAGTAAAAAATAATCTTTTAGAAGGCAAATTATTTTAAAACTTTGAGATGTAATAACATGTATATTTATCTCTAAATAAGAAAAATGTTCTTCCCTGATCTAATGTTCTGCCTTACTATTATTAATTGCGAGATGAAAAAAAAAGTAGTCTTGCTTGACCTTCTTAACCCAGAATGGGTTGCACGTCATTCAGAAAGCACATTATCGTCCTTGGTAAATTGACCCCATAATAACGTGTCATAACTGAGATAAATGCCAAAAAGCCAGAAGGACACCCTCTTTTAACAAAGGGTGCTTAAGAGGAAGGGGGGGAACATGTAAATGTATTCACAGGCCTTCAAAGAGGGACTGTGGGAGGGACAGAACATTTATTATATGCTTTTATTCTAAAAAAACATAGAACTCCTAAGAAAAACTGCAATCTTCATTATCTTATTTTGCCCTCTGCTGGTCATCAGTCCCAGTATCAGGAAGACCTGACCACACTCCAGAAATTTTTCTGTCAAGATTAAGGGCCACATTACAACAATATGCTTCCTATAACATTGCTGAGACTCAATTCTGCGTTTTAGGATTACATGTTTTCTGGTTGTGAAATGGGGCTGGTAATTGTTACCCTCATCCTCTAAAATATGTGGTTTGTGTAACAAATGCCGAGATTGTTGAAACCTATCTTCAGGTTTAAACTTTACCCTACCCTGTAATTCCAACTAAAACAAAGGATAAGTGGCTGAAAAGATCCTAAGGCAAAACAAGATGGTGATTTTATACAGAACAGATGCATTTAAAGGCACCAGCCCACTACATTCACCTTAAGTCTTGAAATACCCAGCAAACCTTGCCAGCAAAAGCCCATTTCAGCCATTAGGGGAGAAAGTACCTTTGTCCTTGCATTAACAAAGATCATCTGATTATTAAGGAGGCCAATACCCTGTTACTGCTGCCAGTTATAGCCAGTTCAAGTGGTTCGAGCACTCTATAAAGATCCTGCACTGTCAATTATTCTTCACTGATGATGATGGAGCAAGTATTCAGAGAGGAATTTTTAAATTTTAATTAAGGTGATATAAACCATCCATTAAAAGAAAAAGGGGAGAGGGTGCCAAGACCAACATTCAGTTGAATAAAATGCTAATGCTGCCCTAATCTGTTTTCCTCATGTTTATACTTTTCTGTAGTCTCCAATTACATGATCACACTGCATATTTTCCTCAGGACCCTCCCGTGTATAGCACGGGCAGGGCTCTAGGAATGCAGTGGGAAGAAAGGAGGCCTGTTCTCTTCAGAAGCTGGAAGGCATTCTGGAAGCAAGAGGACCAAGGCACTATGAATTATCAGATTATCTGAAAAGTTCTGAAGAACTGAATTCTCTTCCTGCTACTGTCCCAAAGTATCCATACAATACCAGGAACCAAATTTTAATGATGTAGACTATAAATATACATTACTCATTTTCCATGCCTCCCATCCCTGATATGAGGCATTTCAGGCCAGGCACTTGGCATTTTTGTTAGCCACAACTGCAACCAAAGTCAATGGGTTTTAAACACTGTGCATTATGGGATGACGGGTGGAGAATAAAACAAGAAAAATCAAAATATTTCAGCTCGAACAAAGGTAGTGGACAGTTTTGATGTTGCATTTTCTATGTCTCTGTTCCCAACTTCTAAATGGAGTAAACAGCTTCCTTGGGCATGTGACCACAAAAACTGAGACATCAGGAGAAATAATGTGAACAGGAATGCCTTAAATGCAAATTAGAATTAGTCTATAAAAAGTAAAGCTCAAGGCTACATAGAATCATAGAATGGTTTGGGTTGGAAGGGATGATCTGGTTCCAACCCCCACTGCCATGGGCAAGGACACCTTCCACTGGACCAGGTTGCTCAAATCCTCATCCAGCCTGGCCTTGAGCACTTCCAGGGATGGGGCTTCCACAGCTTCTCTGGGCAGCCTGTGCCAGTGCCTCACCACCCTCACATTAAAGAATTTCTTCCTAGTATCTAATCTAAACCTGCTCTCTTTCAGTTTAAAGCCATTCCCCCTTGTCCTACCTGCCTCTGTAAAAAGGCCCTCTCTGGCTTTCTTGTAGGGCCCTCGTAGCTACTGGAGAGCTGTTGTGATATACACATATTATTAACATAATATAAAAACATTAATCAACTAACCAAACCCTGAATGAACAAACTGGGGATCCCTCATTTCATCTTCCTATTTCTACTGCATAAAATCCTTTGATCACAGGTAATGCTGTACTTGAGGATTATATTAATGGTGCAAATGCAGAGATAAATCTGGCATTTCTTTACTCTGAAGTGGTACCTTTCCAGACTACCTTGACTGGAAGCACTGAGTGCAATACTCAAAGTATACACAGATAAGTACTTGAAGACATAAGCAGCTCTTTACAGTGCTTCTTGCAAGTTTTGTTGTCCAGATGGAGGCACACAAAGCATTGCAGATGAAACATTCTTTTGCTTTTGTACTATGCAGCAACAAGCAATTCAGAGTGTAGCTAAAATAAAAGCATGAAATAAAAATAGCATAGAACTCTGCAATTCTTCAGGGCTCATAATCCACTGTTCCAAGCAAATAAAGTCTTTCACAATTCACTTGGCTGTATGCCAGAGAACTTATAAACAGAAAGCACCTTTCCCAACATAGCCCTGGGCATGGCTGGTCATGTTAGGGAATGAATCCCCCCTCCCACACACACTAACCAGCACTTCAAGGCAACATGCTCTGTTTTCCTGGCAGCCCTTCCACTGTGCTGTGAAACACCATATCCAGAGCTGCTTTCTATGGTGCTGATCCCATGCTGGCACAGAACTGCATTTACAAAAGTCTGCTTGAAGGTTCCCTTCCAGTAGTAAGTCTCTTAGGCAGCATTTATATGTAAGAAATTGGACCTGGCTGTGAGTAAACTGCCTCCTGTGCATAAAGATCAGTATAATATTCATAAAGAAGTAGTAATATTTAAAGGTTGGGGTTTTTTTAATTTAAACTCCCAAAGTAATTAAAGGCAAAATATTTGAAATTAAGTATGCAGTTTTAAGTCTTCTAACAACAAATGCTATTTGAAGACTAGCATCAGTTATATTTATTTAAATAAATAAAAGGAAAGGAGTCTCACATGTTCTAGATGAATATGGGCCTGGCTGGCGATGTCATAAATTACATCTCTCACATTTTTCTCTTGCTTGCCCCTTATGAAATCCTCTTGTGAAACTCCATGCTAGACACAGGAAGGAAAAACAAAATCAAAAAGAGAAAAAACCCACCATAAACATCAATTTTCCATTTTAACTTCTCAAAAATACTTTCCAGCAACCAAACTAAGGGCAAAATACTAAAACAGCCTGAATGTTTTATTACTGCTCCCTCCTTTTTAAATTCTTTGTTTGTTTTTATTTTGATCAATCACTTCGAAAAAAAAAATTCAAGAAATCAAAGAGAACAGTAGGTAGATTCTTTCTGCATGAATTTACTCCCTAAATCTTTGTGGTAAGACAACCAAGTCAGATTTTAAAGTTTGGGGAATTTTTTCAGAATTGCACCAGCTGCCTGTTCCTCTCAACACCAGTGGGGCATGTGAAAGCTGTATAAATGAAGGCTGGTGGGCTTCACAGGAGGCAGAGACTCCAGGGGAACTTGGCAATACTTGCCAGCAGCTGAAATGCTTACAAGATGCTCAGTCTGCACAGAAGGGTGGCAAGCTTTTTTTAGTGTCGCTGCAAAAACCTTCCATGGCAAGGAATGACTCTGAATTTTCAGGCTGTGTTTGAAAAGCTGAAAATCTGGAAGGCCTCCATACCATGTAGTTCCAGAAGAGATGAAAGCAGGGTGCAGCTCCTTTCTGCAGTCTTATAACCCTGAGCTATATTTCCATCTACATTTGTTGCAACTACATACATTACTAAACTTCAAATCAACACTTTTACTTGTATTGAAATTATATTCAGAAAATACTAACACAACTGCCTTAGGCATCACCATAACTGCAAACATTTTGGTTAAGGAGAAAAAGGACAGCATTAACATTTAGAAATAAAGATTGGAAATTAAGGAATTACAGTTGAGATGCTGCAGATCAAGCCACAAAACATCAATGAAAAATTTTGAGCTCTAATCTCACCCTACTTAAGTTGCAAGATCTGTTAAATTCCAATGCAAATTAGGGGTACAGTTTAAACTGAAGGACTATACCATCCCCTACAGCAATGTATGGAATGTACGCCTACAGCTGTCAAATACGGAACAAAAAAAAAACCAAACCACCAGCACGTATATGAAAAGGTAAAAAAGAGAAATGCAAGAAGATTGTTCAGAAATAAAATTTCTCACAGTGCTTCCTTTATGGTTATAGGAAAATTAAAAAAAAAAAAAAAAAAAAACACAAAAACCCAAAACTGAGGTCCCATTACATAGATGCATTTTTATACACTAATGGAAAAATTCCTGAACATTAAAATATTACATTTAATAAAAACAACACAAAAACCCCCCCCCCCAAAAACAAGCACACAAACCCCAAAACCAACCAAACAAAAAACCAAAAAGAAACCCTAGAGTTTCTTGAAGGTCACTCCTCTCACCTCCCAAAAGATACAAAACCGTGACAATGGCATATTATTAGGCCACAGCAGAAAGAGTTAAAATAAAGAAAAAAAGTCATGTTTCTTTCTGGCAGATCTTTCTGATCTCGTATGCATTGAAAAACACAGTTAGAAACATTACACTGTTCAATTCCAGACAAATTGCTTCTCTTACCAACATACAAATGTCCATGGGAAGAAAGACCTTTTGTCTTGTACTATGATATGGAGTTGCTCTTAAACAGGTAACTATGCCTTGTGCTTTCCCAATGTGACTGGCTGCATGGTCAGCATGGATGTCCCTCACATCTAAAATTGCAGAAATAATATGTTTAGAAACATGCAGTCAGACTTTTTGAGGAGTATGGTCTTCCTTGATGTGTATCACAGTCATACTTTAGGAAAGCTAAATGCACTGGTCCATGACAGAACAGTCTGTGCATAAATTGCCTCGAACCTCATGTCAGAGGTGCAAAGCAGCAGGAAAAGTCATTAATTTCCACATTCAGGAGTAAGATGCCTACTATTTTGTTGCAGTGTTTGCAAAGGGTATACTTAGCAGAGCAGCACATATTCAGACAGAACGTATCAGTACACAAACTCATTTTCATTGATATGTCCTCTCCCAGGATAACAGTATCCCAAGAATTGTTTTTCCTGCCAAACAAAGTCATTCAAGTGTGAGATTCCTGACAAGCATTCATCCTTACAGTGCAGTTTCATGATTAACTGCAGCTGATTCATCAGTGTAGTGAAGGCAAAGAGAATGATCCTACACTTCACCCCACAAACCCATATGTCTGCCCCCTTCCTTGTGCTGTTTCAGGCAACAAGGAAAACTGAATCAGATCACCAAAACAACAGAAAAGTAACTTTAGTTACTGCACAGTCACACAACTGTGAGATCTGAAAGAGGGAGATGAGTGGGGCAGAGCACCACTGCTCTTCATGGCAAGAACACACAAGGTTCCCCTAGACTGATCATACAGCTGTAATGTTTTCACAGGACTGACCCAGGATAAAATGCAAATTTAAAGGAAAATTGAAATGAAAATTCATAAAAGCTCTAGCAGAAGCAGCATTCTATAAAGAAAGAAATGAGGATACAGGCATTACAGTCAATAAGCCTAATTAACTTCTGAAAATGATACCAGGCATACCAGATTCACAGCAGAAGCCTTGTGTGGGCCTTCAATGGGTCTATAAATTAACTACAGAGAAAGCAAAGTATGTCTTGGAGGAATCAATGGATATAACTTACTGATACTGACTGGGCAGCTCAGGATTTACATATAACTAGGAATATGAGGGGGAAAAAAAGCTCAGAGTAAGAGTTAGCAGTGACTCGTGCTCAACCTGGGAATATATCCCAAAAGTGACACTCTTAAAAGGTTTAACAGAATTATTTAGTAGTATCAAACTCCTAATTACTGAGGCAATTAATCAGAGAGCACAATCATTCATATTTTTAAATTACAGGAGCTGAGAGGAGGTACGAGAACTTTGACACAATTACCAGTCAAAATGAGAAATAGAATAAATGAGAAAAAAATGAAAAATAAATAGAAAAATGAGAAAAAGAATAAAACAGTACTACTACTGGAAGAGTAACACACTCACTGGAGACTGGTCAGGAATAAAGAGTCTAAAAAGGACAAGAAATTTAGCAAACATGACCTGCAATGAAAACAGGTCCACCTAGTATGGAAAAGATTGCTGATGGGAAACACCAAGAAATGGTTTGATTAATTTCCCTATTTATGGAGAAAAAATTACAGAAGTTAACTGTTTAATATGCAGTGAAGGAGACTTTTGCTTAAATACTTTACTGCATTCATATATTTAAGAGAAGTTAAACATGACAACAGGACATCAAGAATATCCAGAACCTCAATACCCATTTTCAAAAATAGATTTATCTATTCCTACCAGGAGTGACCCGAGCATGTCTGAATTTATTCAGGGTCAAAAACATTTATCAGAATGAAAGACTTTGACATTTCTCATACTCCTACATTTCTTCAGAGGTTCAGAAAGACATTTGCAACATTTCACTGATTTCCTACTGAGTAGGCAAACATCCGATGTTAAGAGATAAGTTCCTCATTTCTTCCAAAGAAGAATGTGCTCGCCATCTCTCTTTTTAATTATTTCCATTTCGTTTTTATTAACTTGTTTAACCTCAGCCTTTCATCAGACCACTCTGATAGACAAGCGGAAAATATTGCTACTACAATACTAAATACTACTAAATAACAGTATTTTCCACTTTTTTTTAATGTCTGAGCTTATACAGAGAATACTTCCATAGTGCAACAGACACCTAAAAGAAAATTACCCTTTTCTTCACTACAGATGAACAATTCTTTCCCAAATTGTAACTCTTATATTACACATGACACAGAAACTAGCTGTTGATGACAAGGATCATCCTTGTTGCATTTTTTTTAGTTATTCAATTATTGATAGATAACCTACTTTTAAGAGGATTCAGACCCAAATTTAAAACATCACCAAGGGAAGTTCACAGGTTGGGAAGTTGGCTGTTTCGAGATAATCAGTGCACATCACTGCAAAACAGAACAACAGCCGCAGAATACCTACAGCACCTTGTGTTCTGCAGGACAATCTAAATACAGCAAAGAGTTCAATTTACCACACATAAGAGCAAGAGACAAAACAAAGCAACAAAGAATGGAGCAGTAGGAAAGTGCACTTCAAAGGGCTCTGCACTGAGCAGCTTCCAAGGAAAGCACAGGTCTAGGACAGTTGCAGTACGATCCCACATCCAAAAGATATATGAAGTATTTATTACCTAAGGCGACTTCTATGAAAGTAAACTCCAGCGCAAAAATGGGCTTTTTGAAACATCAGTAAATATTGCACCTGCTCTAATGAGTCAACAACAAAACCTAAAAAGGGCAAAACACCTACCCAGCATTTCCAAGGTGAGGTACAAGAGAGCACTCTGAGTGTTCTCAGCATACGTTTCGAGCTCCTGGATGTTACGGTATGCCCTATCATCCAAATTCTTCTCCTGTAATATAAACACAGAACTTCATTAAAACATAACTGCTATTTACACAAGTTTATTACTACAGTCATGTCAACCCAATTCACTAACAAAACCAAAAAAAGGACAAAATTGAGAGAAAGAAAAGTATAAATTCAGATAGGAACAATCAATAAAGTTTATAGCAAGTCTAACATAACCAACTACGTGCAACTGCAGCCATGTCTGCTTACTGGAGTAAATATAACTTTTTGCAGTAATATGAAATCAGAATTCTTCATAGAAAAAAGATATAGCCAAAACAAAACATCATGTGGTATTCTTAAACCATGAGGTTTTCAATTTTAATTGCTATTTTGCAACTGAAGCACAGAGAAATTTGGATAAATAGGAATGTATGGTTTAAAACATGCACCAAATCTATCAAATACACATGAGTTTCGAAGTCATATGCAAATCATTGGCTCTTAGAATCATAGTTTGGGTTGAAAGGAACCTTACAGATCATCTAACTCTCAACTCCCCCTGCCATGGGCAGGGATACCTTCTAGAGCAGGCTGCAGAGTCCTGTCCAACTTTCTCTTCTAAGGGACCAACAGCCCCAAATTTCTCAGCCTGTCTGCAGAGGCAAGGTGTTCCAACCCCCAGATCAACTTAGGGCCTCTAATAAATAATACAGCCAAAAATAATAAAATACACCCAAATAATGCAGTATTTAATAAAATACACCCAAAAATATAACATCCACCAGCATTCTTCCTATCCTAGCGGTTTCTGTGGTTAAAACATACCAGTCATAGGATTAAGAACCAGTTTTAAGAACAAGAAACTCTGAAGTCTTTCATAGCAATGACACTCTGCAAGTAACTGACCATCAATTTTCTCAGTGTGTAACTTCATGAGACACTAAGTTCAGCAGTAAAAATAGTTTAAGAAATTCCCGCCCTCCACTTTTAATTCTTGTCCTTGTGTCGGAGCTGGGAGCTGCATCACTGTACCAGTGAAACTCTTCCTCTTGTTTTTTCCCAGAAAAGGGTGGATATTTTAAACTTCATGTGATTTGAATGCTCCAGTTTACAACACTGCTTAGGAAAAACTCCACAGCTAAGCTAAGAAGCAGAAAAGTGGGACAGAAAGGTTCAGATGGGTCATTTAATTTTTGAGATCCTGTATCTGTGTGGACTCACAAACTACACCTATTTTAAAGCAAAAATAAACAAAGGATTCTGTTAGCCATTCTGGCCAGAAAAGAGCAGAAACTATGAAGAATGGCATCAAAGAAGAATTAAAAAGAAATATAGCAGTATCAGTTTTAAAGAGAAATACTGCTGTCTGGAAAAGATAAAATACATAAGCTTTTGTTCTACATTTTAGCACATAAAAATAAGGAAAAGAAAAGCCAAATATGACTAAAGCCAGAATTCGGCTCTGAATGGTAAATACTTACTCTTTCATCAATGATCTTCATGAACCACATTTTAGTCAACTTATGCCTCTTGACAGCCTGAAAATTATCAAATAAAACCTCCATGTTAATGTATACACAGTGATGGTAGTACGGCATTCTGAAGGCTGAAATATGTTTTAGATATTTAATACAAGAATACAGAAATTCAAATACATAAATTTTCAAATGACATTTACTGCAGGTTGCCGCACACAAAAATGAAATACCGGACAACAAGCCAGCTAACTAAAAGCTTTTCTTTAAAAATGTTTTTGCAAGTAATTTATTCTTGGAGTCACATGTTCCCACAAAATATTTGCAGATAACTACGTTCGCTTTCCAAAAAGAACACAGTTTCCTGCAGAGTTAAGCAATAAAAATATTTCCCCTATACATTTTCAAGAAAACATCAGTACAACACACCAGTACATACTGTAAAGACAGCAACCTAACAAAGTGTTATAATGAATATTCTGGGTTTGTTTAAAATGTATCCCACAGCATCTCATATTCATACATTCTTTTGGCTTTTACCTTGTACTTGACTTCCTTCCTGTACCACTTCATTCTGTCAACTTACCGTCAACCCTCTTAATTACACACATTGAATTTTCCAGAACACATTGTCAGAAAGGCTACAATCACATATATAAACTTTTATAAACAAGACTTGTGGAGTGATTTCTCATCATTTAGTTTAATAGCTCACTTTCAACAACTTCTTTACATCCATCATATTAGTAAATATTTTTTCAAGGTTTGACAAGACCAGACCTTGTTGATTCAACAAATTCTGCTTGAGATAGTACTCGGTACGTGAAAAGACAAATTTTAAGTTACAGCTACAAATGTCAGGTTTGATTCTCACTTGTTCACCTCGAGTATCATTTTGTAAACTAAATCCTTGAAACAGCCACAGGTCAAGACTTAAAGCACCAAACTGAATTCTGCTAAATTATGCAATTTGAACATTACACCTATTTTAAGCTACCTTCATTCAAACACACAGGTCCTCATTTCTCAAGCTTTAAAAACTGGTTTCTTCCACCAGAAACAAATAGAGAATTAGGCCTCACGCTTCATATGTTCAAAATGAACAGACAAGTAGGAACAAGCCTCGTACAGCTGCTGCATAAATTTATATTAAAGTCACCAAGACATGAGCTATTAACAATTCAAGAAATACTATTAAAGGCTATTTATCTACTAGTGCATAAAACTTTTGGAATGCAAATGTGAGTATTCGGGGATATACAAAACTTCACGAACACTTTAACATAACAAATTAGAATTTATTCTGGAAAACCAAATTGTCCTCATGTAAACTCAACAGCAAAAAAAGAGTATACCTTGAATATGTTGTGCAAAGACATATTCTATTAACAGCTCTGCAATACTTGTGAGTTCAGGTGTCTTTCCAAATGCTTCTTTCTAAGAAATGCAGTGACATTCCTGGACATGCGTAAAGCCATGGTCTTCAAATAGGTCATTCTTGGGGTATTTGCCAAAGTACAGAAATAAAATCACATTTTGACTGAAAAGGTCACGAGATCAGGTTGAATTGTCAGTTCACTCCAGTGCTCTGCAATGCTCAGAGCTTTAAGAGTTCCTAGAAATACTTTCTGAATTATTTTTCAACATCTTATTTCGCAACCAGTTCTTTTTGGATTGTATTATATTGGTCTTCCTTTAGAGGAATCAAACATGAGGTGAAATCTTACTAGGGGGATAGACAATCCTTTCTTCCACTTCAAAATCAATGTTCTGTTTTGTGAGAAAGGAGCATGACTGGGCCTCAGCTGCTGGAAAGGGCTGCAGTTGGTATCCCAGTATCTGAGTGATTTATATCTGAATGCTGTAGTGGTTTTGGCTGGGATAGAGTTAATTTTCTTCACAGTAGCTTTTATGGGGCTGTGTTCTGGATTTGTGCTGGAAAAGGTGCTGATAAGAACTGCTGTTGCAGTTACTGCTGAGCAGTGATTACACAGTGTCAAGGTATTTTTTGCTGCTCACACCATCCCAACAGGGAGGAGGCTGGGAGTGCACAAGGAGTTCGGAGGGGACACAGCCAGGACGGCTGACCTCAGCTAACCAAGGAGATATTCCAGACCATTCCAGCTCAGCAATAAAGCAGGAGGGAAGGTTGGCAAAAGGGAGAGGGCACCTCTGCTCAGAGACTGGCTGGGCTTTGATGCACACACCCCACACTGACACACATATAAGCAGCCTGAAAATAAAAGCGGTTCAAAGAAAATATACAGTCGTACCCACAGCTAACTTGTACCTGACCCACTCAATCAGACAACTAAATGAGAGGATATCTTCAGAAGCAAAAATAAGTTAGGTTACACTAAAGTTGCTCCTTAGAAAGGAGACAAAAGCATTCTGGGAGAAAACTGTCTTGTACCTGGGAAGTTTGCCCTATGTTGGAAAAGAGACAGAGAGAAGGAAACAAAAGGCAAAAGCACAGACAGATTGACATGGTAAACAAGTGATTTTGCACTTTCATGTCTGCATTAAAGTATAATAATAAGTACATCTTCAACTCCCATAATCCCATAAAAAAGCTCACAACATTTGCCAGCCTTCATTCTAACTGTACAAGCACTTTGCTGTAGCTAAGGCTTCATCTGAGCTGGAGACACCTAGGAATAGCTCTGGTCTTCAACAGAAGTGACTGTAACAGATGCTTTATTTTATTTCCTGGCATTACCTATGTTTTCTCTTAGTTAAACAAAGTGTATCTTAGTTTAAATCTCAATTTTTATTTAAACGTGAGTGTTGACAGACAGGAACAAATGCTCACTTATGCTTTACATCACATTTGAGGGAGGAAGAGTCAGGGAGAGGCCACAGTTCTTTGGAAAGGACTAATTTTTGTGGTCTCGGAGGTGCAGCAGAGTTGCATCCATCCCTGAAAGCATTCAAGGCCGGGCTGGATGGGACTTTGAGAAACCTGGTCAAGTGGAAGGTGTCCCTGTCCATGGCAGAGGCATTGGAACTACATGATCTACAAGGTCCTTTCCAACCCAGGCCGTTTTATGAGGCTGAGTGAAACCGAAATGGCAACAGAGAAATGCTCTAATCCTGCAGAAGCTGCATTGTTCTTACCCAGAGTTACAGTGAGTGTCCTGCTTTTCCCAGAATTTTAGCAGGAATAATGCAGATGAATATTTGAATATTTTTCAGCAGGTCCACAAACCTAACTACCTATGGATCTACGTCAACTGTATTCAGCTACTGAGGTTTAGACAAACTGCAGCTTTTCCTGTCCAGGAGCTCAGAGCTCTTTACTTTAAATGCAGGTCTGATCTTACAGAGTAAGAGTAGCTGTTCTTTTGGAGCACTTGTGGACTTGCTGCTCCAAAGACTTGCTGTGGCCTGTGGCCCTAAGATGCCAAGTTAGCAACGAATGGAATTTCCATCCCCAAAAAAATTCAAAATTCGTCTCGATGTGACTCTGATAACCTGATCTAACTTTGATGTTAGATCATCTCTGAGTGGCAAGCTGGACTAGATGACAACCTACCAATGAAGTCATTGTGGCTTTACATCAGCATCAAGGGGATTTACGCTGCCATCTACACTGCATTTAGACCTTTAATCAACCATTGAACATATTAATGACAGTCCTAACTAGAAATAGAACAAATATGGAAGAAAGCCTCTGTTCCTTTGGCCAGCAAAGGGACAGATCTGTAGGAATACTTCATGTGTGATGTTCTAGTCCCTGTAGAACCTGGGCATCTTGGTAAAAATAAACTGTTAAGATCACAAGTACATTCTTGTTACTCAATGCACATAAAAAGATCTGTGCAATACATAAACAGGAGCCACCATGCAGCTCTTGATGTGAGAAGAAGACTGTATTAAGATTCTCCCTATTACCCAGTAACTGCATAAAGTCTTGGGCCTTTCCTCATACCTATTTGCTAGTTCACCTTCTGTGCACAGCTTTCTGTCTTTTTTTACAGCTGAATCTCTTCAGATGTAACAAGCACCAGCTTAGGAGAGTACACTTATACACCTCACTATCAGCTTATGGTTTACCACAATTTACTCAGCCCTTCTCCTAAACAGAAGAGAAAAGAGCAGATGGTTCACAAAAGTCTTTCAAGGACCTTTCAAGCAGGTCCTACCTAAATATCCTCCTCCTCCAATTCAGCTCTTTGTTTGTAGGTAGCTTACACACAGAAACACAAACACAATGTACATTATCTGTTTTGTACAAAATAATGCTGTTAACTATGTAACACAGCACACGCAAAACAATGACATCATTTCCCACAGTAATACTACAGTTAAGTGAATTTTAGGACAATAAAGGAATGTTTTACCCTCCACAGTTCTGTAGCAACTGGCTGTTGTGGTGGGTTATCGCAGTATATGCCTTCCACAGCCTCCCTCCAGAACTGCATCCGCATCAAACCGGTAGTCTTCTGAGTTATGGAGTCTTTAATCTGGAAAGGACACATCTGGAGTGAAATTCACAGTGTCTTTAAGACACTTGGTCTATCTACGCTGAAAAGAGACACAGGACATAGCCAAACTCAGTAGGGAAAATGCTCAGTTCTCAATTGACATTTATTCCCGATGAAGCTTGTGAACACTACACAGACTAAAAAAGAAATCTTCCCCACAACCTGAACTTTGGAACCCACAGGGATTAAGTCCTGGGTGACCCTCACCCTCGCTTTCTTTCCAGAAGGAAAGGAAGCAGTGGTGCCAGCAGTTAAGGAGGGCACACCATGGGTTGCCGGAAGCACAGCCTACAGGAGCTGCTCAGGGGTTTTGCCTGGTCAGCTCATATATTGGATCACTCCTTTCTGGCAAGCGTTGCCAACCTTCCTGCCTGCACTGGCAGTTTCTGGCCACCTAGCAAAGGGAAGAGACTGCAGCCACTCCTCTCCCACTGCTCTGACAGCAAATTTCCCTCCTGGCAGCCTTTTCATTACTTTGCTTCTACCAACAAAGACCTGGTTATACCATCCAAGTTTTTGACAGACCTTCTACAGACAGGATTTAGCTGCACTCTACTGATTCGGTCATTGCATGCAAAGCCAGGATGTAGATGCAATCACATACCAGTATCAAGGACCATTGCCTGGTTGTTATAATTTAATTTTAAAATACACAACAAAGAGGAAAGCCAGAAAATCTATACACATCAGCAAAATAATTGGAGGCAGCTGGCTACTTTCCATGAGCCATTCAAAACTAGAGGTTTGTACTGCACTAGTTATTCATTGCCCTTCACAATACAAAAAGTTAATCTTGGCAAAACACTACCTACAAGTGTAATTTAGAATATCAAAATCGTTATTTTGCATTTCCAGAGTTCACAAATGTATTTTAATACCTGCCTGAGCCAGTTCCACGTTGAAGGCTCTCAAGGCAAAAGCAGAGGTTCGAGATTCCGCAGGCAACAGCAGAGAACACAGAAACCCTTCATAGTCACGCTTTCTATAAAAGGATGAAAAAATATATTTGTTACTTACAGCTCTATGTACATTGGGCATGTTATTGCTCAGCACTGAACTCCTGAAAAAGAAGCAATAAGTTACAGTTCAAAACTGTGACTTTGCAAAAGTAGCAGCTTTTAAGCTTAAAATAAGACAAACTCCAAGAGAGGGAGGAGGTTGTCAGAACTCTCAGTGCACCTCTGAAATCCAGATCCCAAGATATCTCACTCAAGGCAGAAGAAAGGCTGTGGCAGAACTGCAAAAAGAATCCAGATTGTCTGACCTCCAGGTTTCTGTTCTGAACATGAAACCACATTTCTTTAAAGATTGCACTTTGGAGCCTGGCAGTAGAGCGCTCACTTAACCATTAAGTTTTTGTTTATACTGGCAATTATATTCAAAGCATAAACACTCTGGAAGCTGGCAGTGTCGCTGCAGGCAACCCACTGTCACCCTGGAGTGACATGCCACCATTTGGCCACGTGGGTGTGCCACAAAATTAAAAACAACACGGTACACAGAATCACAAACTGCAAAATCAGACATCACTGCAGCTAATAAAAACACCTGGCCACTTCTGAAAAGCTACACTGCTTGTTCTGAACAATATTTTTGTGTGCTTTCTGATAAGCCTAAAATCTGATTCTTCATTAGAACAAGTCCAACAACTGCAAGTTTCACCTGGAAAGTGGAGAAACAGGTGTCAAGTAAAACATATTTGCTCATTTTCATGAATTTTGCTGTACTTCCATGTACTCATATTTCTTTGGAATATGAGCTTAAAATAGCAAAGCCAGACTAAAACCAAGGGTTATTACAGTTGCTACTTTTAGCATCAAACAAAAAGGAAGTGAGCTTTAACAGAGGTTCTTAACCCTACAGCAGCTGACAACAAACGCTTAGAGTTTTCACATCAGTTGTGAAAACTGTTTAAGAGCTTGATGCAAATTCAGAAATATCAACAAAAAAAATTTACATTTGTGAATTTTAGCAGACTTTAAAGGTCACAATTGTATTAAACAACAGACACATCAAATTTCCATCAAGACAGTTTCTGAAAGTATTATCAGCTCAAAACCTAGTACTTTTTTCAAGATTGATTGTAGTAATACCCACTATTGCCCACCCTAGTCAGAGTTGCAAGGTTTACAGCCACGTTTTCCCAGTTCCAGTTTGCCTGAATTGTTCACACAACACCTCTCCTTTCAGAAAGAAACAGGTTACACAAAGTACACAGCAGTACAATAGAGAAATTTGTCTTCCCTAGAGTAATGGTGTTGACATGTTGGTTTTCTAGTTGGTTGTTTTTTTCAATTATTCCAAGTTTAAAAATGTAGCAAATCTATTAAGTCGCAGTGTGTAAAATAACTGATATTGCTACAGATCATGTTCCACCCCAACTTCCTTTATGCATCAGTGTAAGGAATGAAGAAAGAAGGGAATGACCTGAAGTATTGAGTGTTTTTCATAGTTTTCCTCTCAAACAAGTATATATTATGTCTGAACCCACAGACAGCTGGCTATGACCATTACTGGACTTCCAGTATAATGAATTTCCTCCATGTTATAAAACTCTATAATACCATCAAGCCACAAGCTTGTCTTCCAGAGCATATGTCATAAACAGCAAGAGACAGAAAACATACCTACTGGGGATACATATTTTTAACTAAATAGCTTAAAGCAACTTTTTTTTTAAAAGAGTTGCTTAACATAAAAAGGAAAGCCCAAGAGAAAGGACATCTTACATATTGCAAACTTGCACAAATATATATCCTTAAAGCATAACTCAATTGTTCTTCCTAGTGTGTGGGAGACTCGAGTTCAGGACTAGGGAATTGCTGATGCTTGCACAGCCACAGGTGTTTTATTTCTGTTTGAATAATAACTCCTTTCTCTTATTTTTTATAATTTATTATTTCCATGCAATATATAAGCTACTGGGAATAGCAGCTTCAATTAAATGAAGCCAAAAGCATAACCACCTTTCATTTTACTATTTTGAATGCTCATGTATTTTTCTAACTAGTCTTTTTATCATTTAACAAAAATATATATTAAAAAAATTTTAATTCAACCATCTCAGCTTCTGTGCCTTTGAACCTAACTATTCTGTTCACAGTTGTTTGTTAATGAAAACATTTTACTTGCATATGTTACATTCATTTGTATATTAACTGCACACACATCCTCTGGTCTTTTGAGTATCAGGTGAACAAATCCTGGGTAGAGTAACTAGGAAAAGGAAGCTGTGTTCTGAAGCTTTGTCAATGAAATAGCAACCTGGTTGTGGACTCTGGTGCATCTGTACAGATCTGCTGTTTTGTGCTGCAAGCAAATATTTAAGACTGTCCCATTCCTTTCCATTAGTTTTCCTACCTCAGGCATTACTGCTGACCACACACACCTTTCTGTCTTTTACAAGCATCAGTTTGGAAAAGATGCTCCTGTTCCACTCTTTCTATACACACTTGCAAGCCTTCTCCCTGCTTTTGTCAACCACCTCGGACAACAGTATTCAAAGAGAAATTACTTAGGTCTTTATGAATAGACTTGCTAAACGTTTTAATTTGAAAAGAACTGGACTTCTGTGGACTACAAAAACAGCCAAGGGGCTCTGCACGTTGTTTACAGCCCAGAAGCCCAGCAGGAAAGGTGGCGTGGCCTGGAAGCGTCTGAACTGTACTCCAGCTCCTCTTGGAGCACTTTGGATTTGACAAAAAAATGTATGCATGCTTCTGGAACATAGCCTTTCTCCTGCATTCAGGATAGAGAAGGTACTGAGCTGCCTGTCAACCTATCGAATGTCCTCTGCTTTTTCCCGTTTTTCTAAGAAGTACTCGGGAAGCTTGGCTATTTCCCAGCAGCCAAGAAGATCTGACAATACCCATTATTATTAAACATCCACTTCGGTGATCCCTCTCTCCAAAATCCCGATGAAACGATACTGAAATGTTCAATACGTCTGAAAAACTGCAGCAGTGAAGGGCCAGGAGCGTGCGTGGATTGCCGTGGGAGGCTTCCCACGGAGGTCGTGGGAGTCTCCTGGAGACATCCAAATGTCCCTCTGGAAACACTGAGAAGCCACCTGGATGCGTTCCTGTGTAACCTGCCCTGGGTGACCCTGCCTTGGCAAGGGGATGGACCAAACGACTTCCAGAGGTCCATTCCAACCCCGTCGGTTCTGTGATCCTGTGTGCAGGGTAAATCATCCACGCAGGTTAAATACTCCCTGCTTTCCACGCTCCCAACACGGTGCGGTCCCGCCGGCCCACAGGCGCCGGCCACGGAGACCATTTTCGGGGCGAGGAGAGGCCAAGGGCGGCCTGGGGGAATCCCAGTCACCCTTTCAGGGAACTCGCCAGCTTTCCCATCGGGAGGGAAGCGCTGTCGAGCCCTCTTGGGACGGACTCGGCGCCCTCCCGTGCGGAGCGCGCACCGCCGCGCCGGCAGCCCCCGGGCACTCACCGCACCAGCTCGGCGCAGTACTGCACCGCTCCTCCGGCCGCCGACCGGCTCCAGCTCCGGCTCCTACTCCAGGCCGCCGCCGCCCTCCCGCCGCCGAGCTCCGGTGGCCGCGCCAGGCGGTGGCGGTGGCCGACCCGGCCGCGCCGCAGCGCTGCCCCCGCCATGGTGCCCGCCATGGCCATGGCCATGCCCGCTCCGCCCCGCCCCGCCCCGCCGCCGGCAGGGGGCACCCGCGGAGCCGCGGCCGGGGCACTGCGGGAACCCCGCGGCCCTTTGTGTGCTGCAAATGGCGCCCGGCACAGGGCCGTCCCCGCCTGGCTTCCCACAGGCTGCTTGGGAGAATCCCTCTGCTCCCTGGGAAATCGGGCACTCTGCTGGAGGCGGAGCAATTGGAAAGCGGACCGGCAGATAAGGACCTGGGGGTGCTGGTGTACAGCGTATTGAAAACGAGCCGGCCGTGTGCCCGGGTGATCAAGAATGCCACTGGCATCCTGGCCTGTATCAGGAATAGTGTGGCCAGCAGGACCAGGGCAGTGATTGTCCTCCTGTACGAGGCACTGGTGAGACCGCACCTCGAGTGTTGTGTCAAGTTCTGGGTCCTTCACTACAGGAAGGACATTGAGGTGCTGGAGCGTGTCCAGAGAAGGGCAGTGGAGCTGGTAAAGGATCTGGAGCACAAGTCCTATGAGGAACAGCTAAGGGAGTCGGGGTTGTTTAGCCTGGAGAAAAGAAGGCTCAGGAGTGACCTTATCACCCTCTCCAACTCCCTGAAAGGAGGCTGTAGCCCGATGGGGTTTGGTCTCCCAGGCGAGTGACAGGATGAGAGGACATAGTCCTAAACTGCACCAGGGGAGGTTTAGGTTGGACATTTGGAAGAATTTTTTCACAGAAGGCATATTAGACACTGGAAGGGGCTGCCTGGGGAGGTGGTGGAGTCACCCTGCTTGGAAGTGTTTAAGGAAAGTGGATGTGGTGCTTATTGCCATGGTCTAGTTGACCTGGTGGTGGTCAGACTTAGGTTGGGCTTAGTGATCTCAGAGGTCCCTTCCAACCGAATTAATTCTGTCATCAGCTTTTTAAATCTGATGCCCAAAAAACTTGAGGAAGCTGAGTTCTAAAAGCTTCCTCACTGTGAACGGTGTGGCATAGGAGCGGCTGAGGGACCTGGAAAAAGTCTCGGGGCTGATCTGCTGTGTGAGGGAGTGGAGCAGAGCATTTCTCATTGGGCAGCAAAGCTGGCCCCAGGGCTCTGTCCTTAGTAAAATGTGGTGTTTAAGTTTTGCATCAGAAGCCCTGTCTCCTCCTCTTGGCTGGCAGAGGGGATCCTCACACCTCACAGGTTGGCTGGACTTTTATTTATAGATAGAATTAGCCCTATAATCATGGATAGAGCAGCTGTGCTTCCTCAAAATTTGGCCTATATGGGAATAAGCCAGCAGATTCATACAATAATGCCACCATGCTTAAAGCAGTTTCATCTTGAAATTACACCAGCCCAACCTATTAGTAGCTAGCCAAACTTAGCTGTTGCTACTAGAAGAGACCCTACAGCAATCTGGCTCTTCTTTCTGTCCCCAGCCATGCCATCCTCTTCCTTGGTGCCAGCTTTGACCTTCATTTCATACTATGGTGAATTGATTCAGGTAGTTAAACCAGCAGAAACCCATCCACTGCTCACTTTTGTTTTTCACAAGTTCTTCACCTGCCAGTTTGGTGCCTTGAGTCAGTTCACTGCATGGTCAGCTGAGCAAGGGGCTGTGGAGAGGGTAGGGTCTCCTAGTTTGTGCGCACTAACACATATGTTCATTAGCTTAGCTGCAAAGGGAAGCCACGCAGTAAATACAGGGAGAGTTTTGAGTGGGCAGTGATGTTCAATGGACAAGGCATCTGTTTGGAAATGAGAGCAAGCCCTTATTTTGTGTCACAGAGACAAGGAGGAGTGGTAGGTTAGGGATTACACTTAAGCATTATTTGTTTTATTGATTAGTGGCTCTTGTGGGTTTACCCTGAGCCTTTCTTCTTCCCTTTACCTCATCTCCAAAGTTCTCTTTGTCTTGAAACTCTGAACCTTATTTTAAACCCTTGCTATGCCTTGAGCAGGATTTATTGTTTGTCAGGGCACCCAAAGGAGGTCATTTAGCTTTGGGTGGAGGCTGAAACTGCTGTTGTTTAAGTTTTCAGAGAGAACCCCTAGATAAACGAATCCAGCTCTTTCAGCTGCTGCCAATTCCTGGCAGAAGGGTTACATAAACATACTCTAAACCTCAAGGGTATTATAAATAAATCTTTTAAAATATTAACTTTTTTTAGTCTCTGAATGAACAAAAATGGTGCTAAACTGATTTAAACCTGTAATAAGAAAAGAATAAACCAGTTGTTTATAAAAAATAATCCCAACCTCATTCTCAGTGTGCTGACATTTGTTTCTTCTTGTTCTGTACCTTTACTGTTCTTACTAAATTACTTTTTTCTTTAAAAAAATATTCCATGTGTCCTATGTAGTTACTGAAAAGTTTCTTCGAGACTGTATAGATTGTAGTAAATCAGCTTTTTGTGCTGCCAGCTCAGTGGAAGTAAGGATTGGGCTTAATATTTGAGTGAGTTTTTAACAGTGTATATAAAAATTTAAGTAGTATAAGAGTCAACCACGAAGATTTTTTTCCATTATCTCCTTGTGTTAAAGAGCACATTTCATCACCTTTTTCAATATTTCCCTCAGAACCTGAAAAATGACTACCTCTCTGATGTATATTTCTTACTGAAGTATTTTGTTTCTCTGACTCCTCAGACAAAACTGAAATCCTTGGGCAGCAGTGCTAGTGACAGCAATGGCTGGTTTAGGCAGAGATAATTCGGTTATTATTCTAACCTGGCATTTCTGGGGGGAAAAAATACAGCCCCCCCAAAAAAACCAACCAACCAACCTACCAACCAAACAAAAAAAACCAAACTAAAAACAAAACAACAAAAAAAGTTCTGGACAAGGAAGACATGGAAACATGGAAATACTGATCAGTTATAGCTGCCTCATGTTAAAAGAACATCCAGATATTATTCGTCAACACAGAAATGAGAAAAAGAGACCCTCAGCTGTCCCATGATGGTCAAGCACAGGCTGAAGCTTAGGAGGTCTAGATATAGTCATGTGCTTATACCAAAAGGAGAGGAGAACAGAGGGGAGAGAGAGACCTGCCCCAGAATATGCAGTGACCAGAGGCTGGGTGTTCACTGGGATGTGAGTTATAGTCACTGGGATCCCTCATCTCTAGCGACAAGAGCAGAAATATGCACAGTGATCTGGCAGGTCTGTTCTCTACATTTACATGGGCAGGGATATATTCCCCCTCTCATTTTCCTCATCTGATTAATCCTGGATTCAAGATTATCAGAGTTAAGGAAAAATTTGTGTGTACTAACAATAGTGTTTCCTGCCTAGTTCCATGCCACAGTGAACAGGCCCATGCAGTTATTTTACCTGAAACTACTAAAATTATTCAACCAAAAATCTTTGTTTAAAGGAGTGCACTAAGAAAATGTGTTTAATGGCAGTTGTTTCAGTTGTGGCCACAGAATAATACATTAATGCATGTGCTAATAAGCACCGGGCCACTTTAAAATGCAGTTTTCCCATCTCTTGTGGTTTAATCATATCAGTCTT